GACAAACTGACAAACAAGTGGTGGTTCCTACCCATAGTGACCCTATATAGGGTTTCTAAGGAGCAACTGGTGAGCTTGAACCACTGACCTTATGTTTCAAATGACTTTGCAGTCCAGCACATTAGCCCACAGTGCCACACCAGGACTACCGTATTGTACACATTAGTGTCTAATGTTTAGGAGTTCCCAGACATCTATTTTGTCTTCTGCCGATTGTGTGTTTTTAGTAAAGTTTCATAGTGTGTTTATGCCAAGTATTAGAGCCCCCTAAGTTTGTTCCTATTTTTTCATTGATGATCTTTATAGTTCTAGGTTTTACATTTAGGTCTTTAATCCACGTTGAGTTTGTTTTTTGTATACAGTGTGAGATATGGATCTTGTTTCATTCTACTACAAATCAATTTCCAGTTTTGTTGGAAACCATTTGTTTAAGGGACTATCTTTTCCCCATTTAATGTGCTTTGGCCCTTTGTTTAAGATCACCTGACAATATGTGGTTGGATTTACTTCTGGATTCTCAATTCTTTTCCATTGATGTATATATCTTTCATTGTACCACTAGCAAGCTATTTTGACCACTGTGGTTGTGCAGTAAACTTCTATGTGCTTCTTTGATGCCTGTCAATCACTTGTTACCCAGCATGATGGCAATCTGTTTCTATGTGTGTCTTACCCACTGAACTCTTAGAGCTCTTAGAGCTTAGAGCTCGGTGTGAATCAGTTTAGTGCTTAGTGCCTGGCACAAAGAAGATGCTCTAGAAATGTTTGTAGAGTCAATGAATGATCGCTTAGTAGGGATAATGTGTAGTTGGATATTGAAACCTTCGATTCACAAAAGAATCCCTTCCCTTCCATCTCCCCTCTAACTGTGTGTGTGTACTATAGATGATTTTCCCATGTGTTATATGTTTATTTTTCAAGGAATATAGTTGTTATTGTTAAGTGCTGTAGAGTTCCGACTCATAGCAACACTATATATGGTGTCCAAGGAATGGCTAGTGAGTTTGAACTATCCACCTGTGGTTAGCAGTTCAGTGCTTATCCTACAGCACCACACCAGGACTCCAGAGATAAAACAGTTTAAAATAAAAATTAGATAATTTTTTAAATGTTTGTGTTGCAAACCTTAAATGTAGGACAAAAAACCAAAGGTGTTTTTTGTTGTTGTTGTTTCAAATGGAGAGCTAAAAATCTAATGTATTTCCATTTTATACTATTTTTTAATTTAGGGGTAAGGATGTTGGGCATGATGTTGATTTTTTAATTACCAGCCCAGGATCAACAGAGGAAGAAGAGAAACAACTTTTACATAAAGTGATGAACTTATGGGAAAAGGAGGTAAGGAGAAATATTAAAAATGCTAAATCACTTACACATTATATTAATAATGTTGAAGTTTGTGTGCTATTTACCACCCATTTATGTAGTGACAGAGTCCTGGTGTGGCACTGTGGGATAAAGTACTGGGCCAAAAGGTTGGTTTGAACCACAAGGTTGGGAGTTCAAACTCACCAGCCACTCCTTGGAGACTCTATACATGGTTGCTATGAGTTGGAATGACTTGGTGGTACTTAGCAACAACAACAAGTTGTTAAAAATAAAATAATTTTTAATTATTTATAACAGTTTATACAATGCCACGTGGTAAGCAATAAGACTTAAGTGCTTCAGTTTAAGTTGTTGTTGTTGTTATGTGCCGTGGAGTTGGTTCCGACTCATAACGACCCTGTACAGGGTTTCCGAGGCTGTAAATCTTTACGGGACCAGAAAGCCTCATCTTTCTCCCGCGGAACAGCTGGTAGTTTTGAACTGCTGACCTTGCGGTTCACAGCCAAATTCGTAACCACTACGCTACCAGAGCTCCTTTCAGTTTCAATATATGTTATAAATAAATATCTCATTTATTTACATCTGTATTTGACATATAGTGACATTAAAGTACCGGCAGAGCGGCTGGTGGGACCAAATTGCCGATTTTGTGGTTCATAGTCCAGTGTTTACCTTACAGTGCCGCTGCATTCCCAGAATACATAGTAACACATCCCCAAAGCAAAACTGAAATAATATGGGGTTGTTTACTCTTGCTGTTACCATTCAGGTTTAGGAGTTAATTACATGCTTCTTCCTCCCACATCTGCCCAATGCCCTGAAGACTTCTCACCCCCAGATATGTAAACTGGGTGAGAGTAAGCATTACTGGATGTATCTTAGAATGGCTGTTGGTTTCTGATGAGGCAGTGACATTGGATGAAACACGTCTCCAAGGCAGAGTAGCAATCTTTCATGAAAAAACAAAATTCCACAATGTTACAGTGGGGCAGAGCCTCTAGTCACAACCTTCTGGGCCAATTAAACCTGACCATAAGGGTAAAACACTGGTATATTACTGATCTATCAGTAGTATAGTGAACCCTGGTGCGGTGCTGAAGGATAAACACTGGACTGGTATTGCAAGGTCAGCAGTTCAAACCCACTAACCACTCTCAGAAACCCAATACAGTGTTGCTGTGAGTCAGATTCAACCGAACAGCACACTACCACCAGGATAACATAAATGGACACTAAGTCAAAGCTTAAGGAGCTCTGGTAGTGTAGTGGTTACGAATCAGGCTGTGAACTGCAAGGGCAACAGTTCGAAATTACCCAGCGGTTGGGGGGGTGGGGGGTGAGGAAGATGAGGCTTTCTGCTCCCGTAAAGATTTACAGCCTCAGAAATCCTGTACAGGGTTGCTATGGGTTGGAACTGACTCCACGGCACTTAACAACAACAATAAAATTCAAAGCTTACCTTTTTGTATTGGGGTTGGTTGACTTTAAAATGGGTGTAGGGAGCCCAGGTGTGAGATTCAGAAGAGTGGGGGCTCTTTTGCACCTATTAAATGACATTGACTCAGACCCTCTAATTACTAAACTCCTGCAAAGAGAGGATAATACACAACCAATTCCTTAGCTTCCTCTCCTAGCATTGCCAGGTAGGCCCAATGCAAGGACAAAAAGCACACCCAGTTCTTCTCAGATGTGTGAAGATTTCATTAAGAGCTCTCATTGATAGCCCAATGTCAAATCATGAACCTTCTGTATGCTGATGTCTTCCTGTTTCTTTTCAGGGATTGCTTTTATACTACGACCTTGTCGAGTCCACATTTGAAAAGCTCAAGTTGCCTAGCAGGAAGGTGGATGCTTTGGATCATTTCCAAAAATGCTTTCTGATTTTAAAATTGCACCATCAGAGGGTGGACAGTGGCAAATCCAGCCAGCTGCAAGGAAAGCCCTGGAAAGCCATCCGCGTGGATCTGGTCATGTGCCCCTTTGAGTGCCGAGCCTTCGCCCTGCTGGGCTGGACGGGCTCCCGGGTAAGTACTACACAGATTGTTGTCATCATGTTAGTTTCCCAAAAGACATCAGCTGTATCGACCTGAGCCCAGGGGAGAGACCATGGCAGCAGGGGAGGGATGGGAGAAGGAGTTGTTATTGTTATGTGCCGTGGAGTCAGTTCCTACTCATAGCGACCCTGAACAGGGTTTCCAAGGCTGTAAATCTTTATGGGAGCAGAAAGCCTCCTCTTTCTCCTGCAAAACAGCTGGTAGTTTCAAACTGCTGACCTGTGGCTCGCAGCCCGATTTGTAACCACTACACTACCAGAGCTCTTTGGGAGAAAGAGTAGAGCCCCCAAAATCAGAGCATTCTCCCCTCACCACAATATTCAGGTAAGTTTGGAACTGTGATTTTCAGGCATGGTGCCCAGATCTGTAGCATTAGCCTCCCCTGGAAACAGGTTATAAATGTGAATCCTTGGGTCCCTCTCCACCTTAAAACTCACTGTCAAGCCGATTCCACTCATAGTGACCCTATAGCACAGAAGAGATCTGCTCAGCTGTCCAAGGTTGTAAATCCTCATTGGAGCAGACAGCCTCGTCCTCCTCCCTCAGTGTGGCTGGTGAGTTTGAACTGCTAACCTTGTGTTTAGCAGCCCAGTGATTAGCACACATCACCACCAATGCTCCTTGGGTCCCTCCATCCTCATCTCAGACTTACTGAATGAGACCTCTTGTAGGAGGAACGCCCCCCTCTGTGTTTTTAAAAGCCCTCCTGGGTGACTCTGATGCAACTCAAGTATAATAACCATGAGGGAGAAGCCAGCAGCGTGGTTCAGAGCACAGGTTTGGCTCATCCCAAACCTGGTTATTACCCTGCTAGGCCTCCTACCAGCTGGGTGCTCATGTGCCTAATGCCCCATCAGGTAAGTGAAGGCCAGAAAAGGGGTTGCCAGTGTTGCATAAGAGGACCTTGGTAAAGGCCTCAGCACCACGTCAGGCCATGACCCGTGCTGGATAAACAATATCTCTGACCAGTAACCAATAGCTGCATGACATTCTGTCACACAGTAGCCACTCATTAAAGAATTACTGAAAGAATAGTATTATTTACTATCCTGAAAATAAAGGACATTTATCATCATTCTGAATGGTCTAGAGGGAAATGCTCCTAAGGCTATAATACAGGGATCCAGGAATATGTCTCTCATTCCACAGGGGGCTGAGGGGCCATGGGTAGCCTCTCACTGTCCCGATTTACCACCATCAGTATGCCCACTTCAGACCCAGTGTGAGCAACCCTCACCGTGTAAGGACTGGGAAAAGGGAAGAGGTAGCCCAGGGCTCTGGTGGCTGGAGTGGCGTTGCTAAGAAACGTGTACTTTCAGTAACCTGAAGACACTGCATGCAGAATCTGATTCAGCCTTGTTATCCTACAATCCCGGCTCCCTCACTCCACTACTATGAAAGACTTCTGCTTGGAAAGTCTGTCTTCTCACATACCCAGGTGGTAGAGAAGGGCACTTCCTGCCACCTTTCCATATAGGCCTAATCCCTTTGTGGTGGAATCTATTCCAACTCATAGCAACCCTATAAGATAAAGTAGAATTGTCCCACAGGGTTTCCAAGGCTGTTTCCAACAGAAGCAGACTGCCATGTCATTTCCCCACAGAGCAGCTGGTGGGTGTGAACCCTCAACCTTTTGATTAGCATCCAAGCACTTAACCACTGCACCATCAGCTCTCCTTCCGTACAGGCCTGTTGTTGCTGTTAGGTGCTGTTGAGTTGGTACTGACTCATAGCAACCCTGTGTACAAGAGCAAAACACTACCAGGCCCTGGCTCCTACATCAACCGCACAATTCCTGCTGTTTGAACCTATTGTTGCAACCACTGTGTCTTCCTCTTTTTCACTGGCAGTCTACTTAACCAAGCAACATGTCCTTCCTGACAACATGTCCAATGTATGTGAGATAGAGTCTCACTATCCTGGCTTCTAACGAGCATTCTGGCTATATTTCTTTCAAACCTTCCGGCAGTTCAGGATACATTCAGCATTTTTTCACCATAATTTAAATGCATCAATTCTTCTACAGTCTTCTTTATTCATTGTCCAACTTTCACATGCATCTGAGGCAACTGAAAATACCGTGGCTTGGGTCTGGCACACTTCAGTCCTCAAAGGGAGACCTTTGCTTTTTTTTAAACACTTTAAAGAGGTCTTACACAATAGATTTTCCTGATGGAGTATATCACTTGATTTCATGACTACTGCTTCCATGGCATTGATTGTGGCTCCAAGTAAAATGAAATCCTTGACAGCTTCAACCTTTCCCCCAATTACCATGTTTATCAGTCCAGTTGTGAGGACTTTTTTTTGTTTTTTCTTGATGTTGAGGTGTAATTCATACTGAAGACTGTAGTCTGATTTTCATCAGTAAGTACTCTTCACTTTCAGCAAAGAAGGTGATGTCATCTATATATTGGAGGTTGTTAATTAGTCTTCCTCCAATCCTGATGCTGCTTCTTAGTATAGTCCAACTTCTTGAATTCTTTACTCAGCATACAGATTAAATAAGTATGGTAAAAGGATGCAACTTTGACATACACTTCTGTTTGAATGACTACGTCACAGTCTATGTACAGATTATGTATGTGCGCAATTAACTGTTCTGGAATTCCCATTCTTGGCAATGTTATCCATAATTTGTTGTGATCCACATAGTTTGATGCCTTTTACATAGTCAATAAAAAACATCTTTCTAGTATTCTGTGCTTTCAGCTAAAATGCATCTGACATCAGCAATGATATCCCTAATTGCAGGTCCTCTTCTGAGGACTAGAATAAGCCTGCTGTTGTTGTTGTTAAGTACCGTTGAGTTGGTTCCAACTCATAGCAACCCTGTATAGGGTTTTGAACCTATACAGGGTTGTTTGAACCACTGACCTTGCAGTAAGCCTAGAATAGAAAGTTATTGGTCACCGCTAAACAACAGAACAAAATCTGTCACCATCAAGTCAATTCTGACTTATAGCGACGCTATAAGACTGTGAGAAATTGTCAAGATGGTCCATCTTCAGGAATAAAGGATGAATGAGATTGCTAGATAAGACATAGGTTGTTGATTCACACCCAGGGATATGTAAGCAGGATGAATTGGGGAAAGTGGGGAAAGAAATCTGTCGTAGGACGTGGAACTTAAAATAAGAATGAAGTCATTCAGGCAGCGTCCCTTAAACAAATAATAGATAAGGGGGAATCTGATGCAGACC